ATTACCACATTTATGAGAATTGGGTTGCTTCTTTGCGATTTAAAATCGACATCTTTGGTCTGCAATCTGTGTTTTAAACTTTATTATACATTGTGCAGAAGAAAATATTAGTTTGGTACTTGATGAATGATGGGTTGCCTGTGTATGATATTGATAAAGCTGTTATAGGTAGATGAGAGCAAAATATACTGCTAAAAGATAGTCTTATTAAAGGTTTTGCTTCTGAATGAACAAAACATCTCTTGAGTTTCCATTATAAAGAATATTTTTCGGTTGTTGTGTTTGAGATCTATCACAGGAATAAGCTCATGCAATGAATGCCAGATAATTGCTTCATGTGTATCGGATGATATCATCCGTCTAATAAAGTCTGACGAACACAGTTCGATTTGGGATGATTTGCTCTTTATGGATATCTTTCTCAACCAGCCTCTTCTTCTGTTTCTCTTTAGTGCCGAAGAAAAACGTTGAGGCTTATAAATACATCCCCTACAAGTGCAACTGGACATTAGGCTAATTTGATCTTTAACTTATGAATTTATTAGCTCGAAGACTACTTAATCATAACAAAGGATACAAGAAATTCGTTTATCATAAAGTTGAATGCTGAAATATTTCTTACCTATAATTTTAATGACAAACAATGATCTTTGAATATCTATTTGCTTAGCCGCAAACATCTTGGTGTCAAATAACCTTATTTGCCTAGAATGTATTCAGAAATGAATTGTGCTAAGGAGTAAATGCGAACATTTGGTGTTCAAAGCAACAATGAATCCGTTATTTTGCATATCGATTTTATGACACCGCCTTTTCAGTTGATTGTCTAGTTCCTTACTACCCACTCTTGCTTTCAGAACATAATCGTGCATACTCATCACACGAGATGCACTCTGAAGACGATAATACCCTTCGTGAAAAAAACAAGAAAAGGACCGTGAAGACACACACTCAGCTTCAAACATTGGAGAAATTCTACAACGGTAACTTCTCCACTCATCCTTTTACGCAATGACCGCTCGTGCATAACACAATCGTTAAAAAGAATCCATCCATTTTTTTCCTTTGTTTTTTTTTTCTTCCTAGAACATAAATATCTCACAGAGTCCATGAAAGCACAACTCGCCGTGAAAATCTGCTTGACCGAAAAGCAAGTCTCCGAATGGTTTTGCCACCGGAGGTTAAAGGACAAGAGGCTTCTAGCTAACATGCAAGACTCGTGCGGAAGCACAAAACATGTTGAGAATAGAAAACTCCACATAAGGGAATTCGAGAGTGAAATTTCGAATCTCCAAGAATATAATAAGCTCACACAAGAGCAAAATAATGGCCGCTGTTTCGGGACGAACTGCCACATGGATGATGCATCTTCCGGAAGTAGCTCCTCACTAAGGAATATGGCAAATCAAGGCAAAGGGAGCCCATTTGACATGGAAAGGTCAAGAGAACGAGTGCCAAAATTCCCAATTGATATGACGGGCCTAAACAATCCTAGACTTGGCCCGGCGGGCTACTTGAAAGTGAAGGCCCAAGTTGAGAATGCTGCTATAACTGCAGTAAAAAGGCAGATGGGGAAGCATTGTAGGGAGGATGGCCCGCCGCTCGGTGTTGACTTTGACCCGCTACCTCCCGGTGCTTTTGAGTTGTTAATGGAAAATCGTGATGACAGAGGTTAGGATCACTTGTTGGTCTTTCGGGGGATGCTTGGATACGAAATATTTTGATTTTGTTTGGTTTTTTTGGTTTGGTATGGTTAATTTTGAAAAAAGCGGTATTAGATTTTGAGTTTATATTAAAATGATATTTAGAATGAAATAATTGAAGTTGATTTGATGTAAAAGTAGGAGAAAGATGATGTGAAGTGATGGTTAGTTAAAATTATGTGAGTGGATCAATAGTGAATTAAAGTTGATGTAATGTGTAAGAATGATTAAGGGGTGATTGGATATGAATTCAACTAGTAAAAAACTAGTTTTTTTTTTAACTATAGTTAAGTTTGAAAAAAAGTAGTATGGTTAGTTGTTAGTGGATATATTAAATAATATTTAAATTAAAATAATTAAAGTTGATTTGATATAAAAGTAGGAGAAAATGATTGGAAGTGATGGTTAGTTAAAATTATATGAGTGTGTGAATAGTGAATTAAAGTTGATGTGATGTGTAATAATGATTTTTTGATATTATTTAATTATATTGATAATATTGGAGATAGTGGAGTTGAGTTAAAGTTGAGTTAAATTTGAGTTTTGAGTGGGATATTTACTGTAGAAAATATAAACAATCACACCCTAAGTGGTGTTATTTAAATATATTGATAATATTGAGGATAGTGGATTTAAAGTTGAGTTTGATTTGAATTAAAAAAAAAAGTGATTGGTTAAAAATGATTGCTTTTTTTTTTTTTTGGAAAAATTTGTGTCCAAGCATTCTGTTTCTTGAGTCTTTCATTTTCAAATTGGTGGTGGTGTCGTTTAGTTTATAACCTCTGCAAGATTTTTGTTCATTCGTAAATAGTTTGTGTTGGATCTTATTTTTGTTGACAAAGTTCATGAGATTTTCTGGTCAATCTAATACTTTATGGTTGGACATCTCTAAAAGTTTTGTATGCTTTAGGTGCATTTGGAGCTAGTTCTCATAGATGCTAATAAATTTTTTTGCGATAATTCGTATCCTTTTTATTTAGAGATTGTTACCTAACCATTACACTTTTCATTTAGTGAGTATATTTTCTTTCTGTCCGTTTTTTTTTATCCACATAATTTTCTTCATCTGATGGTCCTTTACTCCTATTTCTATCCATCGTGTTCTTCTGACTTGTTTGTTGTTAATGTTATTTTTTGCAGAAACTTTCTATACTGAAGAACCTGTTCTGCCTGCCTCACCTGATATTTCAAAATTCCACCATTATTCTAAGTCTGGCAAGGCAAGTGAATCTGGACATTGTTTTCTTTCTACCTTTTTCCCTCAAAATTCCACCAGTATTTGTAAACTATGAAATATTGAAGTTTCTGAAGCATGTAGCTGATTACCTGTGGTGAAATATACATGTAGTTTCTAGAATTAGCACAGTTTTCTTTAGAGACGAACATTTGATATGAGTGCATGCACTAGTTTCCAGCTCATCGATTTACTATATTCCACTTTGTGGTCAATTATACTATAAATATATCTACTCTATTTTCTTTTTATCTCAATCAATACAGGGGCATGAATACAACTCCAAAGTGCCACAAGTGTCCGATATTCCTGATAACTACGTTCGCCAAAGTTATAAAGAGAATACTAATTTATCCAACAATGGTGCTTATTATCCCCAAAGGGACACTTTTGAAGAATTTCCTGAAGTTTCTCCTACGGAAATATCTGTTGCTGAGAGTAGAGATGACTATAGAACGAAGTACAAAGATGGTGCACAAGTTATGAAAATGAGTTCTTTCTCCAGCAGCAGTTGTGGCTGGAATTTTAGAAAGGAGCAAGAGTCTAGCTTCAGTACGTTTTGTTATTTGCCCGGAAATGGTTACAAACAAGAAAATATTGGAAACGAGTCACCCAATTTGATCAAGAAAGGGTTTGAGCAGATGCAGCCTAAGAGAATTGCAAAGGTTCAAGGATATTATTTTCATCTACGTGCAGTCAGGCTTATTTTTCACTAAATTTTGTGCTCATACATTTTTCATTCATTAATGAAGAAGGATGGAAAAACTCATTCTGATAGAACGCTAGAAAGTGAAAATCATAGTCTGGTTCGAGACAAGAATGATAGGAACGTAAGTTTTTTTTAGTGGTTAGATTGAAGACCAGCATTTTAGTTCCATAATGTGTATTGGTTATATGAATTTGTTCGTATCATTTTTTTTAATTCATAGGATCTGAAAAGAATGAGAGATGAATGTCCTCAGCAGTCGCATTTGAAGAGATCGTCGATGGTGGATTACCAATCGAGAGCATATCAAGTCGCAAGGTTGGATGTTGACCTTTTGGTCTTAAAATTGTTACATAGTATTTCCAAGCCAAAATTTTCTTTTCCTGATGACTGAAGTTTTATTTGGTATTATTTCTCCTGGTTTTTCACATATGTCAGCGAAGATGAAACGAGTGCAGAGACAAGTTCTTCAGTGGAGTAAAAACCTAGCAAACAAATAAGAACATACCAAGGATAGCCTGAGGATGATTTCTGAGCGAGGAACATTGATCTGTAAATAGCCGAATGTTGTAGATTATTGCTTTTCACTCAGTTATTTAACTTTCTTGTACAGAATCTGATTCTTTTGCCTTTTCAATTTCAACCATAGAATACTCCATTAGACTTGTCATGTATAGGCTCTCTCATTATTGAATTGCTTCTGCAACTTATATCGGTGTTCACATTTTTTTTTTTTTTTTTTANTTTTTTTTTTTTTTTTTATGAAACCCTCTGCTTTTGAGGAAGGTAAAGTATGAAGTATTTATGAACCAATCAGGGCCGAGTTTACAAACAGAACCACCAAATACAATATAAATTCGGACAGGAAGAAACAAGAAAAATTTAAAGATCAATAGCCGGGACAGATAGAAGGTAGGCAAGCAAAATTTATGTAACTAGGATCTGAAACTACAGATTAACACTCAGAAAATCGCAGCAATATGTCAGGGAACAAATTATCTTTTTGCTACTCGACAAGATCTGTTTTGGTCATCTGTGTTGCATAAGTTAGTTTCCTATAAAACTTGCACATGTTGTTACCAATCAAGTATTACTCTTCTTTCTTGTTCGGGTCCGCATTAGTTTCTTCGGACGAAGCTGTTTTTGACTCGTCAAACTCCAACAGCTGCACAATTATTCGTAGATGCAACATTAGTAAAAAATAATGTGGATAGTTTTAAAATCTCAATAAACGAAAATTTATTTTTTTTATGTTGCCTCCAAATTCAAGTACAACTGCTCAAGTAAACATTAAATGACTCACAGCTTTGACATCCCCATTCCAAATGCAATGGGCAGCCAGAAATCCAATAACAGCAGGCACAATATACAGCAGTGCAGGCTGGAATAAAAGAACCAATATATAATAGGAAGATGAAGATAATAAATAAAGAAATATAGGATCCATAGAATGCAAAATAAAAAAATATCTAGAGGATGTTAATTCTGTTAGAACGATATTCACCTGTGCAGCTTGAAACCAGTTCATAACAATAATTGTTAGGACTACCCCAACAGCATATCCTGCAAAAGCGCTTCTAAAATATTTGATCTCGGTACCTCTTGAAACATCAAATCTCAGTGCCAATGCCACAAAAATGCCTGAAAAAAAAAAACGAAAAAACCGTAGATTACTTTCTAGATATAATTTAAGTTGCGCCCAAGTGGGGGAGTGAGCATGTTTGTTTATAGAAATTTTTTGCTTTGTTTAAATTTTTTGGTGTGGTTTAGTTAATTTTGAAAATGTGGTATGGTTAGTTGTTAGTTGGTATATTAAATAATATTTAAAATAAAATAATTAAAATTGATTTGATATAAAAGTATGAGAGAGATAATTTGAAGTGATGGTTAGTTAAAATAATGTGAGTTGATGAATAGTGAATTAAAGTTGATGTGGTATGTATGAATGATTGACTGATATTATTTAATTATATTGGTAATATTGATGATAGTGGGGTTGAGTTAAAATTGAGTTAAAAAGAGTAGTTGAGTTAAAATGATGGAAATATTTTAAAAAATTCTATAAACAAAGCTCTAAATATCTAAAGCAGCAAGAAAGTATGAGGTCCGAGATATTACAGAGTTCACTTTCATACCAGGAATAACTATATCACCAAGACCCAACATAGAAAACGGGCGTGCTGAATTGGATGTTGGGAATAAAAGCTGAAGAAAAAAACGCATAATTAAAACATAATAGATGAGCCAGGGCCAACAAGCAGGATTGTTGAAAGCTAGATGATTAGACATGTTAAAAAAACATGGGGTACAAAACCTTTATGGGGGCATCAAAGGATTTAGCAACGCTGACCATCACAGGGGTAAAAAAGACCCAAAATATGTCGTATAGGAAGAGNCACATCAACTGAATGCATTTAAATTCTTGAAAAAAAATAATGAATCGTAAAGTAAACCAAATGAGAAACTCCCATATATCATAATGAAATAAAATGGATCCAAATGTAGATCATACCAAATAACATTACTGTATGAGACCACACACAAAGAAAAAGGAAGAAGAAGAAAGGACCAAATTTCTAATGTCTATAATTCTTTTTTGGTTAGTTGGCATAACCAAATAAAGGGTGCAAACTTAGATCAAGACACAAGGCCTTGTAATATATGCGCTATATATAGTAATGATCCATGAGTTTAATTAATAATGGTGTACTTACCAACAGAATAGCGCCGGTCTTGAATGAGCCAAGCGAAAGCATTTCAATTCCCTGCAATAGGGGGAAAATGAAAATACTCAACACATATGAAAGCTTCACATTCTGTGAGTAGAGTGAAATTTCATGCATTTGCACGAGACTGTTCTTCTAAGGTAATGAAGGTAAGTGCAGCAGTAACAAACCTGAATGCAGAAAGCAAGGCCCAAAGTATTGTTAGCCAGCCAATGCTTCTTCGAAGCATACCATGCACAAAAGAAGGTTCCAGGAATTGCTGCTATTATCTGTGATTTTGTGAACTCAAACTCCAATGCTGTACAATAAACATGTAAATGTAAGTATAATTCTGGAGTAAAAAAACTAAATAAGCACGATAATGTGAAGCAGATAACATAGAAAGCCATGAGATCTTGTAGGGTATACTTTTAATTTGCTTACAATGCCACTGAGAAAAAAGAAATGATTAAGAAAAGCATTCATACATATTTGGTAATTAAGTGAGCAACACACAAATATACAATATATAACCACGAACCCTTGCAAAAGCACTTTAGAGAGGATTTGTATTTGTTCAAGGAAGTGAAGTGCAAATTGTGGTCATCCCTAATGAGGAAACTATAGCATAAAGTGTTACAGATAACAAGGCAGAACTATACCGATGATGTTCAATAATTAAAAAACAAACGAAAAGGACAAATAGAGAAACAAAAACAAGTAGATGCATAAAAACGGCTTATGTAAAGAAATGGCATGTCCGTACACCGGATATATGGGAAACGCCAAACAATGACATTATCATTCCACGGTTTGGGAAGAAATCTTTTGATTGCAGGTAATAACGTTGCCCTACAAAGTCAAAAGACAATAAGGTTGATACAAAAATACAAATAATATGATCTTAAAATATGACTAAAAAATTAGAAACGTATTTTTTATCCAAGTAGGTCCTATGGAGTGAAACTTACGAAAGAGCAACGATACCAAGAACTATAAAATAGGCCGTCAAGACAGTATTGACCAAATCTTTCGATAGAAACTTGAAAAGCAAAAACAGTGACAACAACATTGCACTGCCCACCAATGGGAAACGCATTGCATGTTCCTTGGACATTGTCTCCTGTCAAAGCAAGCACAAGAAAAATTGAGTAATACAAATGCCTAATAACACATACTCTAAATATGAAGATGCTAGATTCATTTACCGATGGTGGGGTTTCCTTAACAGAACGATAGCAACCAACATACACCGTGAGACATGCCGTTAAAATGACATTTAGATTTGGGTCTACGTTCACAACAAGGGGTGCCAGTGTCAACCCTGTCGTCAACAAAAAAGCGCATGATTCACAGTAGACAGGGTAACGAGTTCACACATTGCTAAAATTAAATTCTAATATAATGAATCTAAAATTTTTTTCTTCATGGTCCTTAAGCAGATGTTGACAGAGAGAACATGAGCTCAATGACTTGAAAGATGTTTCGACCTAGTCATAATCTCCCACTATAATAGAAACGATATTTACCAAACAGGCTTCAATCAATCAATCAATCAAGCCGTTAAAATCCTACTAAGTGGGGTCAGCTATATGGATCATATGTCGCCATCGTGCTCGATCAAAGCACATATCCTCATTCGAATTTAAATATTTTAAATCATTTCTAATTGTATCATTCCAAGTTTTCTTCGGTCTACCCCCTCTCCCTTTTAATTTGCGTTATTAATTCTACACACATGCCCGAACCATCTCAATCGTGATTCTCTCATTTTCTCCTCTATCGGTGCTATCCCAACTTTATTTCTAATACTTTCATTTCTGATCTTATCTAACCTAGTATGCCCACACATCCATCTCAACATTCTCATATCCGCCACTCGCATTTTTTTTTTTATCATTTTCATGTTTATATTTAGTAGCCCAACACTCGGATCCATAAAGCATCATCGGTCGAATGGCCGTTCCATAGAACTTGTCTTTTAAACTCAATGGTACTTTACGATCACAAAGTATCCACGACGCACTCCACTTGTTCTAACCCGATTGAATTCTATGTGTTACATCCTTATCTATGTTGTCATTATCTTCTAGAATGGATCATAAATATTTAAAATTTAAAATTTTTAGATGTGTTCAATTCTTGTTCCCTAATTTTAACCTTTACCCATTATTACTCCTCTGATTACTAAAATAACACTCCATATATTCCGTTTTGGCCCCACTTATTTTGAAACCATATGTTTCAAGCGCTTCTCTCCAAGTTTCTAACTTAACATTTACCCCCTCTCTCGTTTCATCTTCTAACACTATGTCATCAGCAAACAACATGCAATCGGTGACATCCAATTGTAAATGCATCGTAAGTTCATCAATTACTAATGCAAAGATATACGGATTCAATGCCGAACCTTGACGCAAACCAGTAGGGAATTCACCGGGATATCGTATGTCCTAACACAAGTTTTCACATTATTATACATATTTTTTATGGTTTCTATATACCTAACTCGCACCCGCATCTTTTCTAACACTCTCCACATTATACCTCTATCAACACTATCATAAGCTTTTTCAAGGTCAATAAAGAGGTCATATGCAATTTTTTATTTTTTTTCATTAAAATGTTTATAAAGTCTCCTATTACATGAATACATGAATAGCTTCCATTGTTGATCTTCCAGGCATAAAACCAAATTGGTTTTCCATTATGTTTGTTTCTTGTCTTAGTCTAGTTTCTATTACTCTTTCCCAAAAATCTAATTCAGATCTAATT